TTTTGAATCCCAAATTGATACTTTAATGAACCTTTTGGTTCTATAACAATAATAAATCGATATTTTGAGAAGAAAAGCAGTATTAGTGCAAAAGAAGTCGATGAACTGGATATAAGGAGATTTGTGGAGTTTGGTCGACAACTGGGTCTTTGCTTTGTGGGCAATGAAGAAGTCTTTGCTTCAAAATTTCGTGAAATTGAAGAGCGTGACAAGGGACTGCTTAAGTCTTAAATCTGGGCTTCTCCCTTACCAGAGGCATTATTCATAATGAAGGTTATTTCATTCAATATTCGTGGGCTGGGGAACAGCACCAAAAGAAGAGAGTTGAGGAAGATGATTAACAATGAGCACACCAATCTCCTGTTGATTCAAGAAACAAAAGTCGAGTCTGTTGATAAGAATTTTTGTAGGACAATCTGGGGATCAGATGAATTTGACTGGCATGCAAAGAGCTCAGAGGGTAGATCTGGTGGTCTTCTCTGTATTTGGGACACAAATTTATTTGAAAAAATTGAAGTATTTGAAGGCGATGGGTTTGTGGGTGTAGTGGGCTTATGGTGTGTTAATAAAGTTAGGTGTGGCTTCCTGAATGTATACGGACCTTGCAATGTTGTTGCTCGAGCCAAGCTGTGGAATGATATCACCAGCCAAATCAAGAATCGAAATTGTATTTTCTGCATTGGGGGTGATTTCAACTGTGTTAGAGGAGGGCATGAAAGAAAAGGTAAGATGACTTTTCAACCTGGATCTGATGATTTTAATCTGTTTATTGAAAAAAATTGCCTGGTGGATTTAGCACTATCAAATAGAAAGTTTACATGGTATAAGAGTGATGGCTTGGCTCATAGTAGACTTGACAGATTTCTTTTTTCAGAAAATTTCCATGAGATATGGGGTAATTGCGTTCAGCTTGCTATGAAAAGAAGTATCAGTGACCACTGCCCTATTAGCCTTAACTCAAGCAACTTTGACTGGGGTCCTAAACCTTTTAGATCAATTGATAGCTGGACTTCTCACCCTGGTTTTAGTCAAATGATTGAGAAGTCATGGAACTCTTTCCATGTTAAAGGATTCTGGGGTTTCAAATGCAAAGAGAAGTTAAAGCTTCTCTGACAGAAACTTAAACAATGGAATAAGGAAGAGTTTGGCAACATTGATAGTCAATTAGAAGAGGCTATGAAGAAAGTTGATTTTGTTGATTTCAAATGTGAAAATCAGGACCTAACGGAGGATGATATGCTCAAAAGAAAGGAGGGCTTTGCAGATCTTTGGCAATGCTTGAGGAAAAAAGAAGGTTTATGGAGGCAAAAATCTAGAGCTACTTGGGTTAAAGAAGGGGACGCAAATACCAGTTTTTTTCACAAAACTATTAATGGAAGAAGGAAAAAGAATATGCTCCATGGAATTAGATTTCAGGGAACCTGGATTGATGATCCTGCACAAGTAAAGAAGATTGTAAGGGACCATTTCTCAAGCCAGTTCTCTTCTCAGCCCGAATTACGACCATCGTTACAGCACCTTCAGTTTTATAAATTATCTGACATGGATAGAGAGATGCTTGAGGCAGAATTTACTATTGAGGAAATCAGAGAAGCAGTCTCTTCTTGTGCTAGCGATAAAGCTCTAGGGCTTGATGGGTTCAATTTTCACTTCATCAAGTCAATTTGGGAAACAATTGAAGGTGATATCATTAATTTCCTCAATGAATTTCATCAAAATGGAAAGCTGGTTTGTGGCCTTAATGCGTCCTACATCACTCTTGTACCAAAAAAGAAAAACCCCACATCCTTGCAAGAGTATAGGCCAATAACCATGGTCGGTTGTCTTTATAAAATTTTGGCCAAAATCTTATCAAACAGGTTGAAAAAGGTCATTGGCAAAATTATTAATTCAAGTCAATTTGCTTTTTGAGAAGGGAGACAACTTGTGGATGGCGTCTTGACCCTTAATGAATTGGTACTTTATTTGAAAATGAAAAAGAAGAAGGAACTTTTGTTCAAAGCTGATTTTGAAAAAGCTTTTGACTCGGTGAATTGGAACTACTTGGATTCTATGCACCTCAATATAGGCTTTGGAGATAAGTGGCGAAGCTGGATGAAAGAATGCCTATCTTCTGCTTCCCTCTCTATTCTTGTTAATGGTAGCCCTACACCAGAGTTCAAAATGTAGAGAGGATTGAGGCAAGGTGATCCTCTCTCACCTTATCTTTTCTTAATTGCTACTGAAGGCTTGCATGCTCTACTTTACGAAGCTGAAAGGAAAAATCTTCTTGAAGGTGTGGATATTAATGAGAATTTATCTATTTCTCACCTCCAATTCGCTGATGACACAGTTCTTATTGGAGATGCTTCACTTAAGTCAATCAGAGCTTTCAAGTTTCTTCTCATATGGTTTGAAATGGTCTCTGGCCTCAAAATCAACTTTGGCAAAAGCATCTTATATGGAATTAATACCGAAGAGAGGTAGCTTAGCATGGCAGCTTCTACCTTAAATTCTAAGCATGGGAACCTGCCATTCATTTATTTGGGGCTCCCGATCGGTGGTGATTCACATAAAATCAGCTTCTGGAATCCAGTGGTGGAAAAATTTCAATATAAGTTGGCAGCTTGGAAAGGTAGACTTCTATCATTCGGAGGCCGTGTTACACTTCTCACGTCGGTACTTTCAGCTATCCCTCTCTTTTATTTTTCACTTTTTAAAGTCCCTAAAGGTGTCCTTGCTGATTTAGTTAAAATTCAAAAGAATTTTTTGTGGGGAGGTTCGGATAGTTGTAATAACATTTCATGGGTACATTGGGGTAGGGTCTGCCTTGATAAATCAAAGGGAAGGCTTAGCATACCAAACCTTGCACTTAGGAACTCTGCCCTTTTAGGGAAATGGTGGTGTAAATTCTATGATGATGATGAGAATGGGAAGTTATGGAAGAAAATCATTGTTAGTAAATACTACGAAGGTGCTCCTATTGATTCTATTACTAATACTATCCATTCAAGATTGTCTCCCCTTTGGAAAGATATCCTATCTATTGGCAGAGATGATGAAAGAGCTTCTGCCTGTTTCATTGATGGTTTTATTCGAAAGCTGGGTGATGGTTCAAAAACTAGATTTTGGAAGGATGTTTGGCTAGGCAACTCTCCTCTTATGGCTGATTTCCCTCGCCTTTTCAACCTCACTCGAAGCAAGGATCTATTAGTTGCCGACTTAAAGCAACCCAACACAGATGGATGGGCCTTTCAATGGCGTAGGCCTCCCTTTGGCAGGGAATTGGACGAGCTTGGGGTGCTGGAAAATATTCTGGAAAAGGTGTTCATCCCATATGATAGAGCTGATCAAGTTACATGGAAACACAACCTGGTGGGATACTCTACAAAACATGCTTACAGGTTCCTTGAGATCTCCTCATCATGTCTTGACAAAAGCTACTGTAAGATTATTTGGAGTCCATTCACACCATCCAAAGTCAGTATTTTTGCTTGGCGCCTCTACTTAAATCGACTTCCTACCAAGGACAACCTAATAATTCGTGGTGTTGACCTGGCTTCCAACCCAAATTGTTTCCTTTATGGGGATTACATAGAAGACCTCAATCATATCTTTGCCACTTGCCGTTGTTCTCAAAATGTCTGGAAGTGGGTTTGTTGTTGGTGGGGGGTTCCTTTTATTCCTACTGCAAATGCTCCCTTGCTGATTACCGAGCTTTGTTCACTTATGGATGCCAGGAAATCATGGAACTGTTGGGCTCTATCTATTCTCACCACAGCATGGACAATTTGGTACTTCAGAAATGGTATTGTGTTCAATAAACTAAATTGGGAAGAAAACAACATTTATGGTCTAATTCAAGCTAAAACTTTTTGTTGGATTAAAGGAAAATCAAAATCTGCAGTGTTTAGTTTTGGTGATTGGTGTCAATTTCCAAATCTTTGTGCTGATGGCATTTAGACTACAAAATGTAACTCTTATCTTCCCATTTCTTTTGTAAGGGTGAGTACCCCTTGTACCCTTTTTTTTTAAAATTTTGATTCATCAAAAAAATAATAATAAACCGATATTTTCTATTACATGAAATATTAGTTCAATGAGTTATATTTAATTTTTATATTCTAATTAATTAATAAGTAGTGGGTCCTAACTTTTACACTCCTTAAATTTATCCACCCAAATTTAAGTTGGCCCACTCTAATATTGACATTATTTTGGTGTAATTATTTTAATTATTTTATTTTCAAATATAGAAAATAATGCATGTAATCTTTAACTTTTGTAAGTTTTTGGAAACATTAGTCACATCCATTTAATTGAAAACAATTGGTTTATATCAAATTATTGGTAAGTGTATTTTTCTTATTTTAACACTCCTATTTTAAATTAAGTAGCAAAGGAGTGTCGCCTCATTTAAGACTCTAAAAAATATTAGAAGTGAGGATTCTACAGTATATTTCTTAATTAAAAATAATTGTAAACTATTTATCAGAAAAAAGTTTTAGAATCAACATAACTCAATTCTACAATATGAGGGACCCTTCTTAATAAACCAATGTTTTATAAAAACAAAAAAAATGTAAAGTGTTGTTCTCACGCAAAAACTTTAGTACATTGACCCTTGAACGAATGCTCTATGAATAATTTTAATTGTGCCCCTAATAAAATAAAATTAATTTTTATTAATTTAATTTAAATCAACAATAAATGTTATGTGATGCCTATACATTGTTTTTTGTGGGGTGATTAATTAATAGTATGTTTAGTTTAAAAGGAATGTTGAGTTTTTTAATTAATTAAAATTATAATATATTTAAATATTATAATTTAATTTATTAAAAAAATCCCTTCTTCCTTTTTTCTTTATTTACTTCACTCAAATTAAATATGTTATAAGGTTTTGTTAGTTTAATATAGTTGTTAGTCTTAATTTTTTGTTTTGGTTTTTAGAATTTAAATAATTAAAATTAACAATTTATTAAGTATAAATATTTTTTAAAAAAATCTAAAACTTTAAACTTAGTTAATTTATAAAGTCTTTAAATTTTATACTAGGGTTTGTAAAATTTTAAAAACTAAAATTTGAAATTTAAAATCACAAACATATTAAATGAAGCTTAAGAGTGTTTAATTTTTTTCTAATGCAAGGCAGTTTTTTATCATTCCTTTACTTGCCCTTTATACCGCCTCACCTTTTTATATATTTTAACTCATTTTCTTCTCCCATTTCATCATCGTAGATATATATGTCATGTAGCTTGAATTTAATATATTTTATTTTTTTAATTTATTTTTAATCAACTTATTTTAATTTTTTAATATTTTAGACATAAAACTT